GAGGGAGAAGCAGGCTTCCCGCCGAGCAGGGAGCCCGATGTGGGGCTCGATCCCAGGACCCTGGGATCATGACCTGAGCCCAAGGCCGATGCTTAATGACTGAGCCACCCAGGCACCCCTAAACATTTTTCTTAATACTGTTTTAATGGATGTATAATTCATCCAACAGATTTAGTGACATTTTATGATTCTTCTTTATTTCTGCAGAGTAAATTGAAGAGTAAAAGAGTTAAAAAGTAAAATACATTATTTAAAGAGTAAAATACATTAGAAACTGTTTCTGAACAACTGTTATATTTTTCCATGTCTTTTTAAAAATAATAGCTTTATTAAGATATAACTTACCATGAAATTTACCCCTTAGAAGTCTACAGTTCAGAGCTTTTAAATAAATTTACAGAGTTGTGCATTGATTACCACTGGCTCGTTTTAGAACATTTTTATCACCTCAAAAAGAAACCCCATACCCATTAGCAATTACTCTCCATTCCCTCCTCTTTCCAGACCCTGCCAACAGCTTGTCTATTTTTTGTCTCTGTGGATTTGCCTAACCTTAGACATTTTATATTAATAGAATCATACAATATATGGCCTTTGGTGTCTGGCTTCTTTTTCTTACCTTAATATTCTCAAGGTTCATATGCTATGCTATAGCATATATCATTACTTCCTTATATTGCTAAGTAATATTCCATTGTATGGATATACCATATTTTATTTATCCATTCACCAGCTGGTAGACATTTGGGATTTTTCTACTTTTTGTCTATTAAGAGTATAATGTTGCTATGAACATTCATGTGCAAATTTTTGTATTGACGTAAGTTTTCAATTATTGGGCATATACCTAGGACTAGAATTGTGGTAACTGAGTTTAACTTTTTCAGGAACTGCCAAACTGTTTTCCAATATGGCCATGCTATTTTACATTCCCACTAACAACAAATGAGTATTCCAGTTTCTCTACATTCTCGCCAACGCTTGTTATTTCCACCTTTTTGATTATAACCATTCTAGTGGATATGAGGTGGTATGTCATTGTAGTTTTGATTTGCATTTCCCTAAAGCCTAATGGTGCTGATCATTTTTTCATGTGCTTATTGGCCAATTGTAGTATCTTCTTTGGAGAAATGTTTATTTAGCTCCCTTAGCCATTTAAAAATTAGAATATTTGTGTTTTTATTGGTGAATTTTAAGTTTCTTTTATATATCCTGGATCCGGGTTTCTTATCAGATGGGATTTGCAAATATTTTCTCCCATTCTGTTAGCTGTCATTTCATTTTCTTGATGGTATTTTTTGAAGCACAAAAGTTTTAAATTTTGATGGGGTCCACTTTATTTTTTCTTTGGTTTCTTGTGCTTTTAGTGTTATAGCTAAGAAACCATTGCCTCATGAAGATTTATGCTTATGTTTTCTATCAGGAGTTTTGTGCTTTTAGCTCTTTCCTTTTGCTTTCAGATTGTTAGCCTGTGACTGACATTTTCTCTGTTAATTGTGAAGTTTGTAACTGATGACAAAGCTTATGCCTGTTGTCGTAGGTCTGTGCTTTAAGTCATAATTTGTATTCCTGGAGTTCTTTATTAAGCAAATATACATAAGTTATCAACTTGAAACCTGTTTTATCATAGTTATCAGTACAGCTTTCTAATTGTGAAGTGAAAGAACCAAGTATTTTGGTAGATGGTTCTTTCATTATGCTTAAATTTTTCTTCTGACACTTTAAAGTTTATTTTCCTAGATGTCTTTGTCCCCATCCAGCGATACTTAATTACCACTTTTTCTTGTATTTTAAAAATTTGATATGATTATTGCTTCTAGATGTCACTTGTCAGAGTGAACCGTTATGGTCCTCGGGGAGGAGGAAGGAAAGTGCTGAAGGTAAAGAAGAAGAAAACATCAGTGAAGCAAGAATGGGATGTAAGTCTAGATGGGATAATAAACCTGTCAGATTGCTCTGGAGGAATAGATGTGATGACATGGCCCTGGTTACTTGAGACAGTGCTCTGAATGTGATAGGGTGGAATGGATTTCTGGGCGCGTTATATCCCAGATCCTGGAAGGAAGAGCAGAATCCTTCGGGGATTTTTTAAGAATCCACATGTCAAGGTCATAACCTGTACCTCTTTTGAAGAGGGAATCTTAAGAGGGTGGGGAGTATGTTTTTAAAAAGTCGCCCTGTCCTCCACTTTGAGAACACACTGCTTTAAGGCAACTGGAGCTAACCTGTGTCATTGAAGTCTGAATTTTTTTTGGTACTTTTTAAAGATTTGCCCATAGCAACCAGTGACATCATAATCATATGAGCGGCATTTTTGGCTGAAAAAGCGGGTGATTCTTGCTGTCTTACTTCTTGAACTGTTTGTTTTTCAACTCCAGAAGCTGGTCAGTTTCAGTACAAAGATTCTCTTAAGATGTAAGACAAGTCTCAAGTACCTGGGAGATATGATCCCTGGCTCCCACTCTGATTACTGTTTGGTATTATCAAGGGCATCTTTATCTTTCACAGCTTGGTACTTTAGTTTGAACTGTGACACTTTAGGTGTCTTTTCTTTCTGTTGTGGAGAGCAACTAGTTAGGGACTACTTTGGATCTCAGGGATTCTTTTGGACTTGGAAACTTCTGGGCAAACTGCCAGCCTTTTTGAAGTGGCTCAGGGGGACTTAACCTACGTTTATATTGCTTTGTTGTCATCTGATTGGCTATAAAATATTATTAGGGTGTGATTCTAAAGCAATGAAACTGATTAAAAGGAAAAAAATGCATGTGATAACTTAAAAGTTACCCACTTCAGAGTGGTTACTATGGGAAGTTTAGTATTTATTTTGATTTGCTGCTATTGCTCAAAATATAATTGAAACCCACCATTTGAAATTGCATTTTCCTCATTTGCTTTTTATTATCTCCAGTGCTGGAAAAATCTGTTTTTTGTAGACTAAGCTTGGAAGTAGTTTTAAGTCATTGGGAGTAAATAGTAAATGAAGGAGGAGAGATCAAACTGAATAATACTATTTTGATAAAAATAGTGAGATGGTTTTTGAAATGGCTTATAAATTATATTTAAAAGCCATTTCAGAAGAAAATCATTTTAAGCAGTAGTAGTATTAATGAAATTATATTTTCGCCCATGAGAACTAAGTCCAAGCATATCCCTTATATGCCTGAATTTTATTATGATTTTTAAAAATCTCAAGATCTTATGGTTATATCTTGTGCTTTTCTAAATTAATATGAAAGGAATAACAGTTTTAGTATAGAAAACCCTTGAGCTAAATATAAACTATGGCCAAAAAGTTAAGTCTTTGAATATATCAGAATCTATTTCACCAGATCCAGTTCTCTGTGTATCTGTTGGAAGTAGAACTCTAACTTGTTTTATTTCCTGCCTTACCAAATCTGTATAACAAAATGGCTGAAGTCACTTTGGAGAGGGCCAGATTGCTGGGCAGCTACTTCAAGCTGTGTAGGTTATGCATTGCACAATCCCAAGGAGTACTGTTTACATGGACCAGAATAATAATGGTAGCTCCTGGGGTTGTGGAGTGTGGTAGACCTGCCATGTTGGTTTAGTGCCTTTTACATAAGTGACTGTTTTCACGTTTTATGAAATTATACAGTGCCCTCAAACATTATCCCTTATTATGTATGATATATTCTATGCTTAAGTTGTTTGCATGCACACAAATTTAACCCCTCTATAGTGATAACAGTTTATCTTTTAGGAATCTTTAGAGGTGCCTCATTCTCTGGAATGCAGTTTGAAAACTACAATTTTAGTTAAACTTACTCATTTTGAATTACATAACTACCCTGTTTTATTCGTTGTTTTAATATAATATATACCTGCTTGGTAAATTTAGTGCTTATTTTCTATAAGATACCGAAAAATAGCCTATTATTTTTTAATAAGAAAACTAAAAATAATCCATATTAATATTTAAATTGAGAATACTGGTTCCTGGACAGGAAGTCTTTTTCATCCCAGGACTTTGAATCTGTTTTCAGCCTCTGTTTTTTTTAATTTTAATTTTTATTTATTTATTATTATTATTTTAAAGATTTTATTTATTTATTTGCTAGAGAGAGAGAGCATAGGTGAGAGAGAGTGAGTGAATACAAGCAGGGGGAGCTTTAGGCAGAGAGAGAAGCAGGCTCCCTGCTGAGCAAGGAGCCCAATGTGGAACTCGATCCCAGGACCCTGGGATCATGACCTGAGCTGAAGGCAGCCGCTTAACCGACTGAGCCACCCAGGTGTCCCTATTTTTATTTTTTTAAGAGACTTTTTTTTTTTTTTTAAAGATCTTATTTATTTATTTGACAGAGAGAGACACAGCAAGAGAGGGAACACAAGCAGGGGGAGTGGGAGAGGGAGAAGCAGGCTTCCCGCGGAGCAGGGAGCCTGATGTGGGGCTGGATCGCAGCACCCTGGGATCATGACCTGAGCTGAAGGCAGACACTTAACGACTGAGCCGCCCAGGCGCCCCTATTTTCAGCCTTTAAAATCTAGTATGTACTCATACCTGACCACATATAAATGAACAATGTAAGTTCATAGGTGTGACATAACTCTCTGAAGAATGTGAACAAATATGGTAAGAAGTTTGAATAATAAAACTAACATTTCATTTTAATTTAAATAAACACTTTTGTTTTATATATTATGTAAAAATAGAAATAATTTTATTTCAATTTAAAATAGCAATTTTATCTTGCTAAATGTGATGATCAGACAAATCCCTTAACTCTTCAAAGAAAGGTTTCTTGGAGGTTAGCATGCTTAGTTAAGTACATAATTTTTTAACTGAGGCCCATTTGGCATGTGGGAGAAAAAAGGTGTACCAGGCTTAAACTAATAAAAGAAAGCTTTTGAGGGGTGCCTGGCTGGCTGAGTCAGTAGAGCATGCAACTCTTGATCTCAGAGCCATGAGTTTGAGCCACATGTTGGGCATAGAGATTACTTAAAAAAAAAAGTTAAAAAAATTTTAAAAAGGCCTCTAAAAAAAAAAGGAAAATGAATTTATCAAAAATAAACTAAAATTAATTTTAAATGTTTTTAACCTAGTTTAAAGAAAATTTTTCCTGTAAGAAAATTACCCAAAGAAGGTGAATAAACATTGAAATCCTATTTTTAAAAAAATCCAGTATATCCTAATATTTTGTAAGAAAACTTTTTCTTTAAAGAAAGTTCTTTTTTTGCAGAATACTGTGAATGACCTAACAGTTCATCGGGCAACTCCTGAAGATCTGGTAAGTTTAATATCAAAAGTTAAGATTTGTTCAATGTTTTATTTGATATTGGGTTTCTGACCTTCAGAATAGAAACCAGAGGTACTTCCTGGAAGTTCTTCAGTTATATTTAATCTTGCTTATGTCTATATGAAATTGAAAAGCATATCATCTGGACTTCCTGATTTTACCTAGGAATGTCACTTAGCATGTATTAAAATTTTATTAGATAGGTTTGGTTTCAAATCTCTCTGTTCAAATCTCTCCAGTATTGCCCTGTATACACCTGTTGTCTTCTACTATCTGTAGGTATCTCTAGCCTTATTTACTGTTACTTCCGTATGCAAGCATACTGGTCTAGTCAATGTACTAATTTATTCCTTGAATATGCCATGTATATTTCCACAGTTGAGCCTCAATTCATGTGATTTTCTTTACTTGGAACAGTTTCTCTACCTTCTTGTCTACCTATTCAAATCTTACTTTGCTCCCTTACCCTAGTTCAAGTCTTACTTTTAAAAAGGTTTCTGCTATAGACTAAAAAAAAAAAAAAAAAAAGCAGCTTTATTGAAATACAATTCACATACCATAAAATCCACCCTTTTAATGTGTATGATCCATTGGTTTTCAGTATATTCATATTTATATTTTCTAATTTAGATCATTTTCATCACTCCCTGAAAGAAACCCTGTACCTGTTAACAGTCATATGCCCCATATGCCCCTCTTCCTCAATATCTAATCTTCTTTATGTCTCTATGGATGTGTCTATTCTGGACATTTTTTTTTTTAATTATTTTTTAAAAGATTTTATTTATATATTTTTTAGAGAGAGAGCATGAACACAAGCAGGGCGAGGGGCAGAGGGAGAGGGAAAAGCAGACTCCCTGCTGAGCAGGCAGCTTGATGTGGGACTCGATCCCAGCACCCTGGGATCATAACCTGAGCTGAAGGCAGACGCTTAACCAGTTGAGCCACCCAGGCGCCCCTATTCTGGACATTTCATGTAAATGGAATACAATGTGTGTCCTTTTGTATCTAACATAATGTCTTCAAGGCCCCTCCATGTCGTAGCATGTGTCAGTACTTCATCCCTGTTATTGCTGATACTGTTACGTTGTATGGATATACCCGTCTGTTGCTGGACATTTGGATTGTTTTCACTTTTTGACTGTTATGAATAAGGCTGTTCTGAACGTTAGTGTACAAGTTTTGTGTGAACATATGTTCTCAGTTCTCTTGTTGTATACCTGGGAGTAGAATTGCTGGGTCATATGGTATCTCTACAGTTAGCTTTATGAAGAGCTGCCAAACTGTTTTTCAAAGTGGCTTCACTATTTACATTCTTGCCAGCAGGCATGAGGGTTCCAGTTTTTCCATATCCCTTGCCAACACATGTTATTACCATATTTTTAGTTTTAGTTTTCCTAAGTGGGTGTAAAGTGGAATCTCATTGTGTTTTTGATTTGCCCTAGTGATTAATGATGTTAAACATCCTTTTGTGTGCTTATTGGCCATTTGTATTATCTTCTTTGGAGAAATGTCTATGCAGATTCCTTAGCCAGTTAAAAATTGGATTACTTGTGTTTTTATTGTTGAGTTGTACACATTCTGGGTCCAAGTTCCTTATCAGATATATGATTTGTAAATATTTTCTCCCATTCTGTTTGTTGTCATTTCATTTTCTTGATGGTATTCTTTGAAGCACAAAAATTTTTAATTTTGATGAACTCCAGTTTATTTGTTCATCAACTGTCCTTTTTGTATCATATTTAAGAAACCATTGTCTAGCCCAAGATTCACAAAGAATTTCACCTATGTTTCTTTCTAAGAGTTTTGTAGTTTTAGCTCTTATATTTAGGTCTTTGATCCATTTTGAGTTAATTTTTGTATATAGTGAGATAGGGGTCCATCTTCATTCATTTCTAAATGGATATGCTGTTGTCCATGTACTGTTTGTTAAAATGTCTGTCCTTTCTCCATTGAATTATCTTGACACCCTTGCTGAAAATCAGTTGTCTGTAAACATAAGGGTTTAGTTTGGACTGTCAGTTTTTTTTTTTTTTTTAAAGATTTTATTTATTTATTTGACAGAGAGAGACACAGAGAGAGAGGGAACACAAGCAGGGGGAGTGGGAGAGGGAGAAGCAGACTCCCCGTGGAGCAGGGAGCCCGATGTGGGGCTTGATCCCAGGACCCTGGGATCATGACCTGAGCTGAAGGCAGCCACTTAACGACTGAGCCACCCAGGCGCCCCTGGGCTGTCAGTTTTATTCCACTGATCTATGTGTCCATCCTATGCCACACAACATTGTTTTGATTATTATAGTTTTGTACTAAGTTTGAAGTTTTTTGAAGCTGCCCAACAATTGGTATCTCCTCTAAACTGTTCTCATACTTACTGTCTATATGAGGCATTGTGTATGTGTTGTCTAAGGCATTTCATTTATCTTTATATGTACAGTTGGTCCTTGAACAATGTGGGGGTTAGGGGTGCCACCCCCTGCGTCAGAAATTTCTTGTATAAGTTTTGACTCCCCCCAAATTTAATAGCCTACTGTTGACAGGAAGCCTTACCGATAACATAAGCAGCTGATTAACACATATTTTGTATGTTATATATATTATATACTGTATTCTTACAAAAAACTAAGCTAGAGAAAAGATAATGTTATTAAAATCATAAGGAAGAGAAATTACATTTACAGTACTATATATTTATGGGAAAAAATCCATGTACAAGTGGATCCGTGCAGTTAAAACCCGTGTCATTAAAGGGTCAACCGTATGTGCCCTATCTTCCTGGGCAGATTGTTAATGCTTTTGAGGCATAAGGGCTATATCTTGTATGTCTTTGTGGACCTAGAAATCTTAATCCTAGTAGATACTTGTTAAATATTTGTTGAGGATAATAATGATGCCCTACTGACTTAAAATTTTTTTTTATGAAAAATTTCAAATTTACATGAAAATGGAGACAAAAGTATAAAGATCTCCCAGGTACTGTTTACCCAGATATAATAGTTATTAAAATTTTGCCATAGTTCTTCATTTTTCATACCCTTTCCTTCTTTCACTGTAGCATTTTGAAGCAAATCCCAGAGAACATGTCATCTTGTGCCAACATAATTCAGTTTGCATTTTTAAAAATATAGACTTTTTTATATAACCACAATGCCATTATCACACCTAACAAAAGTAACAATAATTTTTTGGTATTGTCTAATTCCAAGTCCATATTCATATTACCCCAATTATCTCAAAAATATCATCTTCATTTGCTTTTTGTGTTCAGAACCCTTACATAGCATTTGGTTGTTGGTGTCTTAATGGACTGATTTCTTATTTACATGGTGAGAACAAAGCAGTACGTTTTATTCATCTTCATAGCTCTGAATACCAGAGTGCTTGTACAGCTAGTGTCTGCTCCTACTCCTTAGCCGCCTCAGTGAGCTCTTCTCCTGCAGCTCTTACGCTGTGGCTCATATCTCTGCTTCAGGAATTCCATTTTTCTGGAGTTCTGCATTTCCAGTGACCCACTTCCGAATGCAGCCATTGCAGGGCTATAAAGGTACTGCATTGTAAGTTTTTGGTGGTGACGTGTGTATTACGAAATGGGTGTGTCTTTGCCAAAGATGAGTCAGTGGACTTTGTGCCTTTTACATTGTACTCAGTGTGTGTGTGTGTGTGTGTGTGTGTGTGTAATTGTACAGTACAAACATGTGTAACTGAAAAGTTTAACAGAACAATTCTTAACTTTCTTATGTGTGATTTACTCTTAATATTTTCTACTCTGTATTCTGTTTTATTTTAAAAATGTTGGTTTGACCCACTAATTGATTTTACCACCCATTAAATGAATCCTGGCCTATAGATTGGAAAATAACATTTTATTGGATTGTCTTGTACAAAGGAAGTAGAAATTAATATTTTTTTCATTTTGTCTTTTTGCTAGGTCTACTAGTTCTAGATACTTCTTCTTTTTTTAAATCACTTTTGAAGATTTAGAAGACTGAAAATTTTGGTTGTGAATATGTATAAATATACACATGTTGGACCAGAAAAAAATTTTTTAAAGATGAACTAGATTAGGTGGTCCCACCATCTGAATAGGCAACTTCTTTTTTCCTGAAGCATTCTTTTATATTTTTTTCTTTTGTACAGATACGTCGTCATGAAATACACAAATCAAAGAACAGAGCATTAGTACACTGGGAACTCCAAGAAAAAGCTTTGAAGAGAAAATGGAAGAGGCAGAAACCAGAAATTTCTAATCTTGAGAGAAGAAGATTGTCTATAATGAAGGAGGTAATGCTAAACTGCATTATCTTTAGAGTTAGAGAAGAAAATGATAAATAGATTTCTCTCTTTCCCTCCCAAATCTGATTCACATTGGAAGGACTTTAGTAAATGACTGCATCCTTATACAATGATGTACACATGGACTCTGAAAAAAGCAGCAGAGGGATGATTAGGGTCTAGTTTGGAGGTTTGAATTCCAGCACGGAAAGTTACTGTTTATGTGACTTGCCTGATTGTACTGTTATGAGATTTCAGTGATATGTACTAACAAACTGACTAGTACATTATTTGGCACATAATTAGTGCCATATATATATATATATATAGTGCTATAATTACTTTTCTCAGTTCACACACAGTGCTATTAGATAGATTACTTTGCAAAAAAAAAAAAAGTGTGCTTGTCCAACAAGTTAGTAAGCCACTTGTCTTTGGCTTAATCTTTTGCCAGATGTAGGGTATTTGAATAAGTAATCAGATGTGTAGGAATAAATAATATGGCAAATAAGAGGAAACTACAGCAAAAAACCTTTGATTTGGGATGAAATCATTGAAAAAGAAATATACTTTGTAGTGTTGCTTCTTGTTCATTGTTGAAGCTTATGGCACTTGGCTGTCTGGGTGACCTTTCACTGCAGCTTTAAATCACTCTGTCTTTTGAGGAATTCATTAGGCTTGTTAGTGAAAGGTAAAAGTCTTAATCTTATATCTCATGAGGAAGAATTCTGTCTCCCAAATAAATGTTTACATGGACTTGTAAAAAGACCAGTAGATTGAGACCATATGGTTCTTTACAGATAAGTATCTTTTGATAATCTTGGACAAGGTATACATATTTGAATATTATGTAGTAGTTCTCAGTGACCAGGAAAAAAGGCAGCCCCTTTGAGGCAGCTCTGGGCTTTTGTGTCCCATCTCTAGTGGCTCCTGCTCATGTGCTGAATTGCTCATGTCCTGAAGGAATGGATGTGTTTGAAGTAGGGATTGAAGGAAGAGTGGTGGGAGAGGATGAGTGAAGTCTCTCTGCCTTCCCTTCAGTCCCATTCCTCAGGCTCTGATGTTGTGGTTCTCAATGCTGACCGCACATTAGATCAGTCAGTGTTGAGATCTTCCATTAAAAAAATCACTGTAGGGGCGCCTGGGTGGCTCAGTCGGTTAAGCGGCTGCCTTCGGCTCGGGTCACGATCCCAGGGTCCTGGGATCGAGCCCCATGTCGGGCTCCTTGCTCAGTGGAGAGCCTGCTTCTCCCTCTCCCTCTGCCTGCTGCTCCCCCTGCTTGTGGTATCTCTCCCTCTGTGTCAAATAGATAAAATCTAAAAAAAAAAAAATCACTGTATCTGGACTCAGATATATCTGTACTCAGATAATCTGATATAGTGGACATGTGATATGGCCCCACTTAGGTATTTTTTAGACAGTTTTTATGTACTTTTAATTCCTTACCAGGGTTGAGAACCTCTGCTATTAGTAAGATAAGTATTTCCATTTAACAATATATTTTGGAGGTTATCCCATGTCAGTATTTAGAAATCTACCTTTTCTTTTTTTTTTTTATTTTAAAGATTTTTATTTATTTGACAGAGAGAGAGATAGCCAGAGAGGGAACACAAGCATGGGGAGTGGAAGAGGGAGAAGCAGGCTCCCGGGCGAGCAGGGAGCCCAATGTGGGGCTCGATCCCAGGACCCTGGGATCATGACCTGAGCCGAAGGCAGACGCCCAACGACTGAGCCACCCAGGCGCCCCTACCTTTTCTTTTTAATGGCCGGGTAATATACAGATGTACCACAATGTATTATCCAGTGCTTTATTTGTGCAAACTTAGGAAGTGTACTGGACTATAGTTTAGGCTTCTGGTTAAGAAGATACAGTGGTTTAAACAAAATAGAAATCTCTTTCTCTCTATGAAACAGTTCAGAGGTAACTGGTAGTTGGTAGGATCTCTGGGGTCCTTTATTCCAGGACTTCCATCACTGAGTAGAGAATGGCTGTTTCAGCTTCCTTCAGCTGTATTCCAGCCAGCATGAAAAGGGAAAAAGAATGCATGCTACTCCTTTTACATATCACCCAGAAATTCTGGCTTATATCCCACTGTCCAGAAATTCATCACATGACCATTCTCACCTAGTATGATGGTTAGGAAATCTAGCTGTGTACTTGGCTAAAACTTGGGAATTCTGTTGTTAAAAGGAAAATTAAAAGAGGGGACATTGGTGGGTAAGTAGCAGGTCTGTCACCCACAGATTGTTACCTGCCTTGTCACTGTAAGTAATACAATGAATATGCTTGAATATGTTTTTAAATACATGTAAAACTATATTTATAGGATAGATTCTTTTTTTTAAAGATTTTATTTATTTATTTATTTGAGAGAGAAAGAGAGACAGGGAGAGCACAGAGGGAGAGTGAGAGGGAGAAGCAGGCTCCCCGCTAAGCAGAGAGCCCAAAGTGGGACTTGATCCCAAGACCCTGAGATCATGACCTGAGCCGAAGGCAGATGCTTAACTGACTGAGCCACCCAGGCACCCATGTAGGATAAATTCTTAAAAGTGGAACTGCTGAATCAAAGATATGTGCATCTATTGTTTCAATGTTGCTAAATTTGTAATGTCTATGTTAAGGGATGTGATGGGACCAAATGAAGAAGCCTCCTTGGGCATATTCACCTAGGCAGTATCATTATGTATTAGAGCTATCAGTGCATCCCCCAGAGCTGGAGTCCTAGATTAACAAAGTTAAGAGAAAAGCTCTTTGGCTAGCATAATCATTTGCTGTATGATGCATTCATGTCATGGGAATCAAGCAAATGAGGGTCCAAATTCAGAGAGAGGGAAACTTTGATAAAGTTTTATAAATTCTGAAAGTATAATAACTTCCCAAATCTCTCTGTAATTTCCTATTTCTATCTGGTTTTTATTATCAGAGAACAGAAGTGCTAGGGTAAAAAGTTTTTGATAGTGTTTTTGAAGGGACCTTTGGCTGATCCTTTGCAAATCCAAGATGTGTACCACTATTCATAAGTTTGATTTTGTGCTCTGTGAACCCATCTGGGGAAGTAATGTATACAGATGGGCTTGCAGAGATTGGTTTACCTATCAAGAGGATGAGTTTTATCAGAAAGAAGTGATGAATAAATCTAGAGAGGGCAAAAGAAAGCCAGTACACTGATCTGTGGCCTCTCAACCCATCTGCCCCAAGAAGGCTGGGCAGAGACTGGCAAAGTGCAATAGGGTAGCGGCTTTCCTGGAGACCTCATTATATTTGATCATCAGGTCTTGAGATGATAAAATTATTCCTCTTCAATCTGCTTCTGTCAGTTATATCTCTTTATTTTGATGGAAGGTCAGTAATTTTTTTTTTTAAATGGTAAACTCAAAACTGCCTTTAGGAAATATTCTGTGTGTAATTTTTCTAGTTTAAATGATAGATTATAATGCTCCATTTACTCTCTTGCCTAAGCTCTAATTGTGTATACTTGCAAGATCGCTAACCAGGGATAGAAATTTGGTTCATAGGATAATATAATTTACGTTGTAACAACATTCCAAATATTTCTAGAATGGTACATGTTTTCAGTGTGTCCACATTCTTATAACACCCCTTTGGGTTAGGGAAGATGGTGGTATCTTCATTTACATATTAGGAACCTAAGCTTAAAGAGATTGGATTTTGCTTAGTATCCCTTGACTGGGCCTGGGATCCCAGTGTTCTGTCTCTGAATGTGCTCTTTGCTTTATACCATTCCAAAACTTACTCTTTGTGGAAGGAACAAATTCAGGACTTGATTCTCACCAACTGAGCCAGCCAACCAGATTGGCTACAGCAGAAGAAAGGGAAAAAGTCAGAATGTGATTCTTGTTACTTTTCTCAGTGTCCTGAAACAATAACTGAAGTCATATTATATACTTGTTTCCATGGGCTAGAGAGATTCTGGTAAGAGCATTTGTTACCAGATGCTCCTCTCTATTGCTTTGAATCAGTGTTGGAAACTGGGGAGTATCCAATTTTGTGACGCCTCTCAATTTAAGAATGCCATCTGGTGGTGGTGGCTAGAATTGACTTGCCTGTGTCTCCTTGCTTATAATTATGAAAGTTCCTAAGTTGAAAGTGCCTAATTAGAGGAACTACTGTTATGGTATTTTTTGAGTTCTCATCCCTCCAGGATAAAAATCCAGCTTGTTTGTAAATACGGAAGTGTTACTTCTTTGTTTGATGCCCCCAAACTCACATCTTACCTCATGTTCTCTTAAGTTGTTGATCATGAACCATTAGCGGATCATGAAATCACTTTAAAGGTTGAAACACCTCTGAGTTTATGGCTCAGAGATTTATATCTTTAATCAGTGTTTTTCAGACTGTGGATCACAACTTGTTAGTGGATTGTGAAATTGAGTTAGTGTGTTGTAGCTATTATTTTAAAGATTTATTTATTTATTTATTTATTTGAGACAGAGAGAATGAGAGAGAGAGCACACGAGAGGGGGGAGGGTCAGAGGGAGAAGCAGGC